TTGTTCGTTGTATAACTGGAAGTTTATACCTTTTGACTCCCTTCACCCATTTCTACTACCCACAACAGCCATGTGCCACCCACGTGCCTCTGGAAACCATCAATCTGTTCTCTGTATTGTTTTTGTTTTTAGATTCCACATATAAGTATGAGATCATATGGTATTTGTTTTTCTTTGTCTGACTTATTTCACTTAGCATAGTGCCCTCCAGGTCCATCCATGTTGTCACAGGTGGCAGGATTTCATTTTCTTTATGGCTGAATAATATTCCATTATATATATATATGCCACAGCTTTTTTATCCATTCATCCATCCATGGACACTTAGGTTGTTTCCATATCTTGGCTATTCTAAATAATGTTACAATGAACATAGGGGTGCATATGTCGTTTCAAGTTAGTGTTTTTGTCTTCTTCGGATAAATACCCAGAAGTGGAATTGCTGGATCATATGGTAGTTCTATTTTTAATTTTTTGGGGGAACTTGCATTCTATTTTACATAGGGGCCACACTAATTTACATTCCCACCAACAGTGCAGAAGGGTTCCCTTTTCTCCACATCGTTGCCAACACTTGTTATTTCTTGTCTTTTTGATAGTTGCCATTCTAACAGGTGTGAGATGATATCTCATTGTGGTTTTGATTTACATTTCCCTGATGATTAGTGATGTTGAGCATCTTTTCATGTACCTGTTGGCCATCTCTATGTCTTCTTTGGAAAAATGTCTGTTTGGATCTTCTGCCCATTTTTTATTTGGATTTTTTTTTTGGCTATTGAATTTTATGAGTTCTTTATGTATTTTGGATATTAACCCCTTATCAGATAGTTTGCAAATATTTTCTCCCATTCAGTAGGTTGCCTTTTCATTTTGCTGATGGTTTCCTTTGCTGTGCGGAAGCTTTTTAGTTTGATGTAGTCCCAACTGGCTTTTTGGCTTTTGTTTCTTTTGCTTTAGGTGTCAGATTAAAAAAATCATCGCCAAGACCTGTGTCAGGGAGTTTACTGCCTATGTTTTCTCCTAGTTTTATGGTTTCAGGTCTTACATTCAAGTCTCTAATCCATTTTGAGTTAATTTTTGTGTATGGTGTAAGATAGTGGTCTAGTTTCATTTTTTTGCATGTGGTTGTTCAGTTTTCCCAGCATCATTTATTGAAGAGACCATCCTTTTCCCATTGTATATTCTTGGCTCCTTCGTTGTAAGTTAATTGACCATACATGTATGGGTTTATTTCTGGGCTCTCTATTCTGTTCCATTGATCTTTGTGTCTGATTTATGCTGATACCTCACTGGTTTTTGTTTTTGTTTTTTTTTTTTTGTGAGGAAGATTAGCCCTGAGCTAATATCCATTGCCAATCCTCCTCTTTTTGCTGAGGAAGATCGGCCCTGGGCTAACATCTGTGCCCATCTTCCTCTACTTTATATGGGATGCCGCCACAACATGGCTTGACAAGCGGTGTGTCGGTCCACGCTCGGGATCTGAAACTGCAAACCCTGAGCTGACAAAGCTGTGTGTGCAAACTTAACCACTACACCACCGGGCGGCCCCATGATACCTTAGTGTTTTGTTGCTATAGCTTTGTAATATAGTTTGAAATCAGACAGCGTGATGCCTCCAGCTTTTTTCTTCTTTCTCAAGATTGCTTTGGCTATTTGAGATCCCGCAAATAATTTTAAAGGAAACCCCATATAAGTGTAACTTTATCCATAAATATTGAAATATGTGACTTAAGGATAGAGATCATCTTAACCAAGTAATTTAATAAGTTTATGTTAAACCATTTTTATTTTCCTAAATTAAACTATATTTGAGTACATTGAGGGATTTTGTGTCTGTACTCACAGGAAACGTTAATGTGTTAGAAAAAGACTTCTTATGGTCCATATCAGGAAATGAGAAAGAATAGGTGATTTACTAGGCCCCCTATTCATCAGGCTTTTGTCTAAAATTTTGGTTGTATGAGTGGACTCCCTGTTGAAGTTTGAAAACTAATAATTTGCGTATGTTAAAAATTTTGTGTTTTGTGTTCAACAGATTTTTCTGTTTGTCTTCTAACATGTATTTGACTTTATGGCTTTTATTCTCTTGAATAGTTTAAGGAACAGAATTCCATCTTTGAGGGCTTAGTAAAATTTATTTAGCAGCAGGATGGACTGGATAAAACTCACTTGAAAAAAAATTTATATTAAAGATGTAGACTTAAGAGGTGGGTGGAGAACAGTAGCTCAAATCATTCTTGGTAGTATTAATAGCAGGCTCACCCTACCTGGTGATGGCTGAAACTTGGTTGAAGGCTGAATTTAAAAAAAAAATAGCCATCACTTTAAGAAGAGATGGGACCTAGCAAGGTTTGTCAAGAAAAACATATTCATAGAATTTGACTTAGTAAGCTCCTTAGAGAGTATCTGAGTAGTAAGTGCTAAATAAAGGAGAGTTTTTGTTGTTGTTTGTTTTTAAATAGAAGTTGATGACCAGAGGGATGAAGTGACTTTCCCGGTGTCCTTAGTCTTGATGCTAGGACCAGACATACATACACCTACTGATTGCTGTTGTGAAGTTTTCCACAGGACACCATTGACTCTCAAAGCTATCATCTTTGGGCCAGTGCTTGGCAGTCCTTTCTCTTTGCAGCATTTTGCAATGCAAAGACTCTCCTGTCTGCTGTTGTGTGCTTTGCTCTTCCCCAAATCAGGGGATTTCTTTTTTGCTTCAGAATCTCGTGATTCAACATTCATAGTTCTAAGCCTTTACCTCTTTCTTCCTTTTTGTTTTTACATTTACAATAGCTAATAGAGCCAATTGCATTAGCATTCTTTGCCAAATAAAGTTACCATTGGAAATAAGTGATATGAGACTTCCCAGAAATTCCTTTTTGAGAGCCAAGCTTACGGTGACTTTGTGTTCTGTTTTGTCACTTCTGTAAAATAAGTTTCCTTAAAAGTAAGAATATCTGAAAATAAGAGGAAGGAGGGAAACAAAGTAATGAATTCCAAGTTAGTTTGATTTCTTTAGAAAGCATCAATGATATCTTGAATCGTATAACTGGCTTTGTTGGTGTTAGTGTTCTCTATGATTTAATGTTGCTTATGCTACTGTAAATAAGCAAATTTCACTTGAAGTATTTATTAGGATTGGGGACTTTGGGAAAGATGCATTGCATTTCTTGCTTGGGAAGATACTTCCTGAAAAGCTATCATAGTTTTTTTATGTGTGAAACCTTGAGTAAACTGTAACTGGTGTGTCATGAGATAGGCCAAGAATTTTCTTGATTTCCATAGCATATGGGTAAGATAAATAAAATCTTCATCTTAACACATGGAGGAAATGAAGCAAGTTGAAGTATAATGACCATGGCATTGTGATATATGTTGCATTTAGAGTGTGATTTAGAGCTTCACCGTCCAGTGTGGTTAGTCCAAATTGAGATGTGCTCTAACTGTAAAACACTGGATATTGAAGACTTAGTATGCAAAAATATCTCATTGACACTTTAAAAAGTTGATTATGTAATTAATTTTTGTGATTTAAAAATATTGAAATAATACTTTTGATATATTGGGTTAAATAAAGCATATTATCAAAATTAATTAAAATTTTATTTTAATATGGCTACTAGAAGATTTACAATTATATATGTAGTTCCAATTTCTATTGTACAGCGCTGATTGAGAGTATAAAAAATGGTTGCAAGGATTACAACTTAATATTCTTTGACTTGTACAGTATGAAATATGGAGACATTATATGAAATAGAATTATGATACAGCTTGTACATGCAGATTACTTTGATATATTTAAATTTGTTTGCATTTTAGGAAACTAGCAAGTATTGTTCCTGACAAGCAGAGTTTTAAATAGTTGCTTCTGGGCTATCAGTGAGACTTCAAGTGCAGAACAGAGGAATTATTATGAATCAGTGCCAGCTGTAGGTATTGCCCCTGCTTACCTCCCAGGTTGAGAAGGAATCCCAGGTAGCTGTGGAGCGTGCAGCACTGTAGGGAAAGTTTCCTTAGTGTCGATTTCTGAAAGGGTAGGTTTCTGAAAGGGCTTTTGGTCAGCTGCAAGTCTTACTTCTCTTTCTGGCTAGATGGTTCACATGTGTACAAGTAAATCTGACCCAAGTGTGGTTTACCTCTGAGTTCAGAGGTGAACTTTTGCTTGAAAATCACTAAGTAGGTGGATTTATGAGGTACCAAGTTCTTAAAAGTATTTACTAGGTTCTGTTGAGTAAATAGATGGTGAGGTGTGAAGGAGGAACTGCTTGTAACCTTCATTGTATACCCAAGAACAAATCAGTAGAAGTGAGAGTCTTGCCCTTTAAGATTTATGACCACTTATTTCCTTGCTCTTCAAAGGTCTTTTTCTCATTGGATACTCAGTTGGGAGTTTCATTTGTTTTAGAAGCTTGCTAAGTAAGATGTATGTAATTTTTTAAAAATATCCTTATTTTCTCATGTTGTCTGTTCTTTAGTATTTGAAATGGGGTGAAAAATTCATTGGATTTTGGATCACAATTCTGTCTTGATTTTGTAGATTTACCACTTAGCATCAGAAGTTATGCATATAGTGTTGCAAAAATTGAATTTTTTGCTTGGTTAATTGATAATATTGTAACAGACATTACATTGTGTGTTGGTAGGGCTTAGTTTTGAAAAGGAACATTTTCATTGGTTATAAATTTCATAGTAATAGAGCAAATATGGTTTTACACTTGAGCATAATCAGATAATGAGGTGGTTAATAGAAACCGATAGACCATAGATTACCAAAATTAAGAGTACAACAAAAGATAACACCATAACTTGAATGTGATTTTGGTGGGGGGAGTGGCTGTATAAACAGGAATGATTCTAAGTGGTGTGTGAAAATGCTGGTTACTAGCACATGCCAGTTGATAGAATGCTGGAAAAACCAGATTTTACAGTATATATTAGATAGGGTTTTTATATGCTTGAGGGTGACTACTGGCTTATGTCCTTTTTTTTTTCTTTCCTTTTAGAATATGGTTTCTAGTTTTAGGGTTTCTGAACTTCAAGTGTTACTAGGCTTTGCTGGACGGAATAAAAGTGGACGCAAACATGACCTCCTGATGAGGGCGTTGCATTTATTGAAGAGTGGCTGCAGCCCTGCGGTTCAGATTAAAATCCGAGAATTGTATAGACGCCGATACCCAAGGACTCTTGAAGGACTTTCTGATTTATCCACAATCAAATCATCGGTTTTCAATTTGGATGGTAGCTCATCACCTGTAGAACCTGACTTGGCCGTGGCTGGAATCCACTCGTTGCCTTCCACTTCAGTTACACCTCACTCACCGTCCTCTCCTGTTGGTTCTGTGCTGCTTCAAGATACTAAGCCCACATTTGAGATGCAGCAGCCATCTCCCCCAATTCCTCCTGTCCATCCTGATGTGCAGTTAAAAAATTTGCCCTTTTATGATGTCCTTGATGTTCTCATCAAGCCCACAAGTTTAGGTAAGTGTTAGAGAAATCACTTTCTTCTGGACAAGGGAGTAAGTAAGCTGTTGATGAATGACTTGCCTTTAATATTATAAAATTGAGGCATTAATGTCAAATGTTTAAATGTATAGATAAAAAAATATTGGCAACCGTGACTGAAATCTAATATAAAACTGTTAATTCATCATTTGACCATTCTTGTTATGGTTAAAACTCAAATTGCTTCTGTGTATATGAGAACAGACACAAATTTTACTTACTGCCTTTGATTCTGCGTTTTGATATTTTTACAGAGACTTAGTTTCTGTGCAATGTAGCTTTTAAAGAAATAAAACATTTATACCTAAGTTTTTTCTAGAATGGAACAGGGAGTGTAACACACATGTTTTTTAGCTTTTTGTTTAATATCCATCGACTCCTCAGAAAATTTAATAAAATTTATTACTACACAGAAGTCGTCAGCCTAGGTAAAAATTTGTTAACCTGGGAGATTATTTTTTTTCTACCCTGAGAAAACTCTTTTTGTTTCAAGTCATTTGAAAACTCTCTTAAATGTCTCAGTGTGCTTTTTTTTCCTTTTTTTATAGGATTATACTGCAGTACATCTTGGTTGAGCCAAAAGGAAATTTTGAGGGGCTGGGCTGGTTAATGGGCTCAGTATGTCCTGATTGGTGGCAGGCAAGGTGGCTATGCTTTTCTCAGGCCCTTTCTCCTTGCTTTGTTTTTATTTAGTGATATTGAGCCAAGTAGGTAGAGTGTGTCAATCTGAAATAAGGATGCTGTATTTGTTCACATTTTATTATTTGTACAAAGTCCTGTGAGTAGAATTATTGCATCAAAGAGTTAAGAACATTTTAGACTCTTGATAACATATTGCTAAATTAGTTTCCAGAAGAGCTGTGCCGGTTTAAATTACACAAAGTGAGGGAATGTCTCTCATTGCACCTTACTTCCTGCTTTTATTAGATGTTAAGACAAATCTGGAGCCGGCCCAGTGGCTCAAGCGGTTAAGTGCGTGCGCTCGGCTTCAGCGGCCCGGAGTTTGCGGGTTCGGATCCTGGGCTTGCACTCACGCACCACTTGTCATGCCATGCTGTGGCGGTGTCCCATATAAAGTAGAGAAAGATGGGCACAGATGTTAGCTCAGGGCCAGTCTTCCTTGGCAAAAAAATAGGAGGATCGGCATCGGATGGTATCTCAGGGCTGATCTTCCTCACCAAAAAATAAATAAATAAAAAAGAAAAACAAATCTTTGCGATTTAAAAAATTTTTTTTGATGAGGAAGATTATCCCTGAGCTAACACATGCCGCGCCAGTCTTCCTCTTTTTGCTTGAGAAAGAGTGGCCCTGAGTTAACATCTGTGCCCATCTTCCTCTATTTTGTATATGAGTTGCTGCCACAGCACGACTTGATGAGTGGTGTAGGTCCACGCCTGGGATCTGAACCTGCGAACCCTGGGCTGCTGAAGCAGAGTGTGTGAACTTAAGCACTGTGCCGGCCCTGCAATTTTTTGATAAGTGGAAACTTGTATCTTGTTTAGATTTTTCATTTTTAAAATTAATGATAGGAGCAAACATTTTAAATGTTTATTACTCAGTTGCTTTTCTTTTATGGTTTTACTTTCATTTTTAACTTTTTTTTACTAGTTCATTTTTATCTGGTTAAAATGTTTCCATAATTTTTTTATTTCTCCCTTTGTCATAGTTTTTGGTTGATACCAATGCACAATATCATGACTCATTCACGTGCTTCTTTCTCAGCCATTATGCAAATTTCTTTTTTTTTTTTTT